GTTTAGAGAAACAGAGAAAAACTGATAATTCTGCAAGCAGCTATTATAAATTCATATGATTGTTTTCATCATTTCATTAATGAATAGATACAAAATCAACAGAGATCTGTTATTCTCGTTTGATTCCCTGAAGTACCTAGACACTCTGGCCCAGATTCTCTACTATGCAGAGTTTCTACTTGGCGCAGCAGAATGCCACTTGGGACAGCTCCCTGACAGGGAGATTGTTATGGCTCCCTCATTCCCACAGTAGATTTGTGCTGTGTGTTGGCTCTTGCTCTAGCATAGGTAAAAATATTTTAGGGAATACCAGCTACATGCCCTCTACCTCTACCTCCACCGTACCCTTTGATTGGAGCAAGGTTGAGATCATGCAAATGTCGGCGCAGAGCCAACATACCTAACAGAGTTCCATCACACTGGAGTTCTCTCAGCCTGTCAGATCTAGACATTTTCCAGCCCTCTGCAGCATAATGTGGCTAGTTTGTACTAGAGAGTCTTGCCCTCTGAACCCTGTTCTCCTCTCAAATAATATATCAGTGTAAATGAGGGGTAACTTCAATGAAGTGAGTGGAGGTACATCAGTATAAGTAAATGAGAGAAGAATACTTCATTCTTTTTTCATTATTCAATCTTCCAATTAAAGATATTACCTCATGCACTTTGTCTCTCTAATATCCTGGGACCAGGAGGGCTACAACCGAATACACACACTTACATAGTAGCTATAAATATAGTCAAAGTGCATACAACCTGTGAAAGGTGCCTTTTATATGTCCAAACTGAAATACACATTTTTCTAAATAATGACAGACAGACAGGCAGACAGAACCACACTCACTCCTCTCTCCCACCTCCCGCCATACCACACAGATTTACTCTTCTTTCAAGATTGTATGGTTTTGGAGCTTACACAGCTTGTCTCTCTTTAACTTGATTACCATACTCAAGTGCTACCACACGTACCTGGTGCATCAGGAAACACACACATTGGGTGTTGTCACATATCCCAAGGATGTTATTTTGAAGTGTCAACTTCCACTTTATTTTATTTTTTTATTACTCTCCAGGGTTGTACTAATTTTGACAGCTGCTAAACTCATTTTCCTATGGTTTTAACTACTTTAAAAACAAAAAATCACCACAAAGGGCCAAATCCTGCATTTCTGAGCCCCAAAGGTTCAAAATATCATGGCAATGTCAGGGGCTTTATTTTGTTTGTTTCCCTCCAACAAGACAGACCAAAAGAGCAAAAGGGTCCAGTAGCTGCACTGAACTGATTTCTTCTTAATTTGTTTTCTGCTACTTAGAAAACACTGTGAAAGTGGTGATTTTCATAACAGTTCATTCTGACCTGGGATATTTTTATTTCCTTCCAATAAGCTACAGGATAACTGGGTTGGTTAAATAAACCTCTTTAACAGTCACCCATTCTTCAAACCAAACGCTTTCTGAGGTACCACATGTCTAAGGCAATCTGTAACCTCTCAACCTTCACCTTTTATTAGCAGGAACTCTTCTTTATGCTAGGTTTCAGAGTAGCAGCCATGTTAGTCTGTATCCGCAAAAAGAAAAGGAGTACTTATGGCACCTTAGACACTAACAAATTTATTAGAGCATAAGCTTTTGTGAGCTACAGCTCACTTCATCGGATGCATGCAATGGAAAATACAGTGGGGAGATTTATATACACAGAGAACATGAAACAATGGGTGTTACCATACACACTGTAACAAGAGTGATCAGGTAAGGTGAGCTATTACCAGCAGGAGAGCGGAGGGATGGGGAGGGGAGGATGAAGGGAAACCTTTTGTAGTGATAATCAAGGTGGGCCATTTCCAACAGTTGACAAGAACGTGTGAGGAACGGGGATGGGGAGGGGGAAATAAACATGGGGGAAATAGTTTTACTTTGTGTAATGACACATCCACTCCCAGTCTTTATGCTGTTACTTCCCCAGAGACCATATTATTCCTCGATGATCCCCAAATCTCGCCTGATCTTGGGCTTCCCAGCTACCTTGTGCATAATGAAAATTTGAAGGCTCGGAGGTGAAATTGAAATGCACAGCAGTAATTAGCGTACTATAAAAAGTTTGCCTTGCTGTGAAAGGACTGTCTACTCACCCTCCAGAACAGTGCTGCCATTGGGTAGGGTAAGCAGAACATTCCCCAAGATGACTCCTGCATGTATGTTGTGGAGGAAGGACAGACAAGACTCACTGAAAGACTGCATCTGCCCCATGACGGAAGGGAGAACCGCTCCCCCATAAAGGTAAGGAGAAAGGAAGGAGTCATGGAAAGGGATTTTCTTCTTGATTTCCACAAACTGGAAGTCATCTTTTTGCATGTGTATAACTGCTGCAAGGAACAGAACTCCTCCACCAAGGCTGTAACGAGGGTGGTATGAGAGGGGCAGCCGCCCAAGGCACACAGACGCCACAGTGGTGGAAAAAGGGGGCAGAAGGACAGAGGTGATATGCCCCCCTCAGATTTCTGCCTTCCATTTAGCACAGAGGTTTTCAAATTGCCCCCTTAGTTTGAAAACCTCTGTGCTAAATGGAACGCAGAAATCTGTGGGATACAAATATGCTTGCTAGGAGCTTGCCAGGATATGCTTGCCAGGAGCTAACACGTTTAATTACAGCTCTGTTCTCCACATCTGTACATAACAGGCAAATAGCAATTACAAAATTTCACATCCATGAAGGGAAGAGCTGGCTATTCTGTAGTCTGAAAAGTGGGGAACGAAGAAAAGTTTAAAGTTTTCATGAATGAAAAATATTGCAATTAGTTGGAAAAAAGTCAGATGCACAAACTGGCCAAACCTCTGGATGCTGCTGATTCATACACAAATAAAGCAAGCACTCATTGATGTTGGCAGTGATGCAAGAGAAATTTCTTTTAAAGGATAAAATGTTCTTGAACAGTATTTCAGTGAACTAACCTGTGTCTACATTTTAGCTGGACAAAATTTACAACATTTGGTCTTGTGAAAGTGAACAAAGTTGCAGTTCTCCATTTGTTTGAGTTTTCAATTGTAGCCTTAGCACATTTGAGACTGCTGAAAGAGCACTGGATCTTACCACTTTTGATGCTTCAGAGAGCACTAGGAGAAGAGATTTTTCTGCACCAAAAGTTCTCTCTCATGAGGATCCAAACTGGATTTTTGTCAGCTTCGCACAAAAGAATCCATAATGTGCCCTTTGCCACGCTGCACCAGAATGCACTGAAAAGGTGTAGTTCAGTATCAGCAATAATGGCTACATGCCGCTGGTATGATGTCACTATTCTATTTACATGTGGACGATTTTGTACTTGGTAAATACTATAGCAACTCGCACCATGTTTAGCACCTTTCATCCAAGGATCTTAAAGCACTTTACAAAGGTGGGTAAGTAGTATTCATTTTTACGGATGGGGAAACAGGTACAGAGGCTAAGTTACTTCCCCAAGATCACACAGAAAGTCATTTGCAAAGTCCGTCAGGGATAAAATCCACACACACACACAAATCAGGGCTTAGTTAGTGCTGCTGAGAGCAGCATTAATTCATCCTCCAATTTACATAACCCTACAGAGCCACATGTCTAGATTTACACTTCAGTGACACCAATGTAACTAAGATCTAACTTGTCGCATAGAGCATAGTTGGCAGCCCAGCATCCAGTGGCAGCACATCAGGAAACAGACCTTATTTTATTTGGAGCCTGAATAGATTAGAGAGGGGAAAGTCTCTTCTTGCCTAACTGGGATTCATAGTAAATCCTGCCCCAAACCCTAGAGAACCAGCATCTTTTTACTGCTTCCACTTCCATCCATTCCACATTCCTGATAGTCTCATCAGACAAGAGGGAGGCAATGCATCATACAAGTGATGTGAAGAAAAGCTGCTGAGTTTGATTTAATTTGCTTCTCTCCACATATTTTTGTGGGGGAAGGACTGTGCACATCCCAAAGTAATTACATGCAGTAAATCCCAAAGTATCAACACTCTAGTGTTGAAGACAGAAGTATGGCAACACATATTTGGATAGAACAGTACCACCACTTACCATGTAGTTATTCCTCCCATACATACTAAGAGACAGATTCCCATTAGTTACCATGTAAGAAGTATCCTTACATGACATTTGGGCTTTTTTTTCTGTGCTGTGAAATTAAGTGATTCGGAGGTCTCCGTTTTGGGTGCCCAATTTAAGATACCTTAGAAGTGCCTGATTTTCAGAGGGTGGGTATTCAGCACTTTCTGAAATATTAGGCCCCCTTAAGAGGTGTCTTGAATTGGCCACACAAAAATTGAGACATCCAAAATCACTAGTCATTTTGAAAGTCTTGGCCTTTGGTTTTATATAGCACTTTTCAAGGGACCAGATTCACCCAGCAAAAGCATCTGCAATATGGTTCTTTGCAATTCTGTGCCTCAAACTGGTAGTCTAGTAACAGTAAGCAAGTGCAGGAACCATTATATATTCAGCCATGGCTCACACCCAAAAGTTTAAGTAACTTGGTAATAATCTATATGTAGCTAGGTGGGAAGACGACTTCTGATAGCAGAGAGCTCTTTAATTTAGCACACAAAGATATAAGAAGATCTAATGCCTGGAAGGTGAAGCTAGACAGACTAGAAAGAAGGAACCCGCCCCCCCCCCTTTTTTTAAAAAAAAAAAAGCCAGTGCAGGTCATTAATCATTAGAACAACTTACCTAGGAGTGTGGTGAATTCTACATCAATTGAAGTCTTTAAATCAAAATTAGACCTCTTTAACTCAACCAAAGTTATGGGCTTAAAGCAGGAATCACTCGTAAAAATTGTATGTCCTATTATACAGGAGACTAGATAATCATAATGGTCCTTTCTAAGCTTAAAACTCTTTGGATTTATGAACTACCTAGACCACTAGAAGCTGTTTTATTGGGGGAGGGAGTGTTAGCCAATGCAGAAGTTACCCTTTAATCTTGTCAAAAAGTGACATGGAATCTTTCATTTCTACCTGGATAGTGTCTGGAAATGAGAGGAAGGGCCTTCAGATGAACACTCTCGCAAGCACCTTCAGTAGCACAGCACTACCAGAATGTCCCTACGAAGGTACTACTCCCTGTTGACTCCGCGCCTGCTCACAGCCTCGCTCAGTCCAGCTGGTCTCTTAGCTTACAAAGTGGAATCCTACCAACAGAGCTATACTTTACTAACAAGTATAATGTAGGAATATTTTTAGATTAATCTAATTGCATCATTAAACTAAAACCAAGGCAGCGTAAAATCTGTGATCAAATACAGAGATTAAAAGATTCCTCATTAAAAAAGTAAAATTTGCAGGCACCCTCTTAGCTTATTATTTGATTCCAGGCCTAAAGCCAGGAATCAAAATGTTGAAATCGCATTACCTTATATTTTATTGAAGAAAACAACATTGCTCGCTTGAATAATCAAATGTCAATCACCAAAGTTTTTCAGCCCCTCACAGTTCTGCAAGAATTTGTCAACGACATCTGAAGAGTTGCATCATAACATCATAAAAATACTACAGTATTCTAAAAACACCACCACATCATTATTGTATAAAATGTAAATCTTTTAGATAAAAACAGTAGAATGTTCTGAAATTATTTGAACATGAAGCAGTAATTGAGATTTTTATTCTGAACCTGGACATTAAAATAATTTGTTCAATTTACATCTTCAGGTCGGATCCATCTTTGAAATCAGAACTACTTGTAACTACCTAGTCACAAGTGTCGAGATACACAATGGATTGTCAGTTGTATACAACTTTTGAAAGAACCAAAAAGTTGTACATTCTTGGACCTTTTCCACTTTAAAACTACAGTAAAAATTAAAGGATGGCTTTTCAAAATGTAATATTTTTATAGCAGATCATCATGGCAATGATAATAAATTGATGCCCAGTATTATGACTTTAGCAGCAGCAAAACGTCATAATTATAGAAATGTAGGGCTGGGAGGGACCTCAAGACGTCATCTAGTCCATCCCCTGCACTGAGGCAGGGCCAAGTATTCCCAGGCCATCCCTAACAGATAATTGTCTAACTGAAAAAAACAATAGGGTGGATTCCACAACCTCCCTAGGTAGTGCTTAATTTGTGCCAGCGCGTGCCAGGGCCGAGCCCTGGCATCTCTAGGGTTGTCAGTTCAGAGACCTGGAACCTCTGCTTGCTGCATCAGTTCTGAATGTTTAAAAAAAAAAATTGCGTGAGCCCTGGCAACTCTTTCATCAGAAATTAAGTACTGTCCTTGGGTAACTTATGCCAGTGGTTAACTATCTTTACACTTCGAATTTTTTTTCTAATATCTAACCTAAATTTCCCATAACACAAACTAAACAGATTACTTCTTATCCTAGCCTCAGTGGATATGGAGAACAATTGATCACCATCCACCTGCAAAAGTACCAACCAAAACCACCACCACAAAACACACGCTACTTTTTATTGTAATCTTTTGATCAAACTATTCTGTAAACTATAAAAAAAATTGCTCATCTCTAGATTATTTTTTTGCATCAGAACAGAGGACCTGTACTGTATGTCTGAAGGGTGCCATCCTTGGCTCCCATTTTTTAACTCAAAGGATGTCTTCTAAAAGGGCTTAATTATTCCATCAAGTCTCATTTCAAGAGGAGTGTCAGCGCTCTCTGCATAAGTGAAAAAAGCTGCTTGTTCTCTCTGGCTAAAGCAGTCTGTTTTCCGGAGCAGGAAATGAAAGAAAGTTACTTTAAAGAATGATTTTTAAACCGGTGCTAACCTGAGGAAGAGAACATTCATCTTAAGGGCAATTTCCTTAACCAGTAATTTTCTGTATTCCACATGTAATCATTCAAAATTTGTTTTGAATAGAGCTTTCTCCTTATATAACTTATTTTTCTCTTATTTGATCCTTCAAAAAAATTCTAATCCTTCTGTGTATGTTGTCATGGTCTGTTTATATGGAAAGAATTGTACTATCACAAACTTATAATTGGTAATGAAGACTTCACAAGTGGATAAGAGAAGCTGATGGGGGAAATCAGCATCAATGTTTTTGATTATGAGAAACAGATGTAATCTGATAGACTGACTCAGCAGAAACAAATACAGGTGCAGTCAAGTCAGCAATTTTCTTTAAATAATAATGCATTATTATCCGATTATAAACAAGTTAACATATGCAAAGGTGGCATGACTAAAAACAACCCTAGGTTGGGACAAGCTTACGACCCTGGTGTGAAATCCTGCCTTTCCTTCTCTGTCCCCAAGCAACCTTGTAAGTCTCTGTCTCTCTGAACACTTGTGCAAATATTAGAAGAATGTAAGCTGTTAACCTTCTGCTCACTGTGCACCAGCTAACAATTCTCCAACCTGTTGAAGGAGGGAAAGAAAATGACAAGGGATCTAAAGATTACATATACACTTTCCCCTTCTTCTAAAGCAGGGCAGTTCTGAAATCAGTCAACCTCAAGTGGAACCAAGGCCTAAATAAAATCAAACTGTTCTCATTTCATGGAATAAAAGAAAAACTAATTTGAAACAACACACACAAATCTGTTGCCAGATAACTGCTGAATAAACATGTGCACTGCTTTGTAAACAGACTAAAATGTCACGTCAGTTTTCTGTAAACAGAGTGAAGATGGACACAAGACGAAAGCAGCATCTTCCCTACCAAGGGCTTTGTTGACATTTAGTAGAGTTAATTGTAACTATTTGCTAGTTTAAAAAGTATCTTCTATTGCAGTTAGATTGCACAAACCTGAAGACACTTCACAAAAACTGGCTACAGGCTTTTCTTCTAATTTGGTGCTATCGTTTGAGAGATGAATGGCAAAAAAAAAAAAAAAAAAGTCAAAAATGCAACTCAGTACATCTCTTAGGAAAACATTACAGGTCAAGTTCTGCCCTTTTGAAGGTCCTTGTGTGTAAATGGAACATTTTTTTCCACCCAAAAACAGCTAAGAACTGAAATACTGATGTTTTGTGATTCACTCATCTACGTCCCCTCCCATTCAGTAAATTTTGTTTGGATTAGGAATTAAATTGGTCGGAGGGCATGTACTTGACTTATGAAGGGTGAAAAGGTTTAAGACTAGTGTTTGCTCAAAGGGACTTTTCTCCTGCACCCTTCTTTACTTAGCTTTGATGAGATTTCTCTTATGGAGAGAGGGGTGTGTTGCTATTGCTCCTATAAACTTAACATTCAGTTTAAGCAATTTCTGTTTTGATGTGGACTCTCAGACATGGTGGTCTGAAAAGAAAATGAATGACTGTATAAAGGATCAAAACTGTTCCACAGAACTAAAGACTTATTAATCAAGTCATAAATTTATTTTTATAAATCACTTAGTAGTTTGTAAAAGTTTGGTATCCCTCTGGATGAGAGATTTATAAATATTTCATTTTATAAATGGAAGATTAGTTTTGTGTCAAAAGGGTTCAGTTATGGTTTCTGTGGGAATTATGAGTCACATTTTGGTCTCAGTTATGCTGGTATAAATTTGAAGTAATTTCATAAAATCTGCTCTTCATTGTTTACTTTTCGATTTAACAGATGTAAGATTGATACATATTACATGGCCTGACTTTTGGTATTTCATAGTAATGGTGATCATTTTTGGTGGAGTGTATGCTTACGTTCCCTTACCATTTTAAATGATGATGCCCAAATATGCCTCTTACTCTTTTCTCGTCCCAGGGTTTTACAATCTCTGAGATTTTTACATCCCACAACGTGGGGAAGGGGGACTCAAATTAAGAAAAAACTTTGTTAAACATATTTAAAATTTTTGCACAATCCTTCTTGCTTTACTAGTGCAAACCTCTCAATGATTTCAGCAGGTTATGAAGCTCAGTAAGGAGAGCTGAATTGGAGCCTTATTTGGGGGTAATTTGATCCTCTGGTTCTCCCAGTGCATCTAGTCTCTCTTTATCCGTCTTCTAAAAGTTGTCAAGATTGTTCCAGCTTTAGAGATGTGGGTGCTGTACAGCACTTCATAACTGACACATGCAAAAGGGTCTGGAAATTCAGTCATGGCCCAGATTCTGAATACAGTTCCACTAGTTGACTTCAATGAAGCCATTGAAAAATCCAGGTGACTTAAAAAGAGTTACTCAGACATACTGTCAGAATCTGACCAATAACTGAATTTTACATGTAAAATCTCTACCATCATCATAAAACCTGTGAGATGATGCCACAGCCATCTAACAGGGCACAGTGATCATAAACAACAATTTAGGGTAGCTAGTGATTATTTCCAGTTGAAATCATATAGAATATAAGTATTCAGAATTTTATTACTCAAATTGTCCAGGAACTTTAACACCCACCTCTTATTAAAAAATAAGGTGCCACTGAGTTATTAAGGATGAATATTGAGGACCTCAGTTTTACATCTGATCTAAAAGATGGCATCTAAAAAGAAATATCTACCTTGGTACTAAGTAAATTTCTCTCTATTTTATCATTCTCAGCCTGTAGGAGACATAGCTTGGTTATTTTATAGCTTTTTGGTTTGCTTGCTTCTTTATGCCTGGTTTGAGCACAAGGCTTGTGTCTATGTCAAGAAACTACTGAAATGAATTTTGCGTTTGCTTCTGAAAGTGGTTAGCTCTGAGGACGCAGTTTTGTCTTGTAGGAGTACGTTCCATAGTCTAGGTCCAGCTCCTGTGAAAGTTCTGTTTCCTGCATTCACAAGCCTCCCCCCAGTTATCCGACAAGTTTATTGTTCCAGTGGAACACAACAACTGTCATATGAGGTCATGACTGCAGAGGAAGAAGCAATATTTCAAGTAGCTACTCCAATGCAGGACCTTGAAAATCAGGACAGAGACCTTGAACTGGACCCTCTACTTAATTGGGAGGGGCCAGTGTAGTGTGAGGCCCAAGGTGATCATAGAAACCTATGTTTCTAAGCAGACTTTTTTTTTTAAACAGTTAGATCTTTCTCCTTCACGGGGGCTTCATTATCAAAAATGAGTTGCAATAATCAAAGCTAGGTATCATAAATGCTTTATCAGGACTTTGTCGGATAGGATGATGCTCACACTTCTGACCAGTTGAAGACAGAGCAGGCATATTTTGCTGCTAGGGCATTGAGCATTCCCAATCTGTGGACTAATTTAGTCAGTGGCAGAGCAAGGATTAGAACTCAAAACTTCCTAATGGCCAATTGTGTGCTCATTGATCCAATCCATAACACCTTTCACAAGGGCATCCTGTAGATGTAGAAAAAAAAATATGTGGGGAGAGGACTGAGCCTTGAGGAATTCTACAGCAGAGGGCTTTGGAGTTGGAGTAACTGTTGCCCATAACTACTCTCAGGGTTTGGCCTGGGAGGAAGAACTTGAACTATTACAGGGTGTTTCTGTTCACCCCTGCAGCATCTTGGGCAATCAGGTGCTCAATGGCATCAAATGCCACTGAGAGGTCCAGCAAGAGGATTTTAGATGTAGTTTACTTGTCAGGGACAGCAGGAGGTCACACACCAAAGCAACAAGCTTGACTGAGAAGGATCCAGAGTGCCAGCATCTAACAGGTGTCTTTGAGAAGGTTGTTTGCTAGCTTCTCTAAGCCATTCAATTCAAGATCCACTGCAGAGATTGAGTGGGAAAATGAATGAGATTTGTGTGTGTGCAGCAAATACAAAACCTGACTGAAGTCTGGAGTATATAATTATGAAGGGAATAAACAGAAATGTTACAGTACTTTCACCTTGCATCAAATGGAAAAACTAAAGCACATCTAAAGCTAAGAAAGGTCTTTGCAGACTCTCTTTACACAGAGAACATTTATGAACAGACCAAAGTATGCAATATGGATTTTTCAAAATCATTTAAAAAAATTAGATAAATATTTGACAAAAATATATTATTCAGTACAATGGCTTAAGTCTGATTGCATGGTCCAATGTTTCTAGGCCTTTTTCTGTATAATTGAATTTACTATGTAGCCATAAAACTGTAAAATGTAATGTGATCTTTCATCAGTGTAAACTGATAGTATCTTTCTCATCTGAAAATAGGTGTTCATTGTTTTAATTTCCTACAGGAAATTAATTACATTTCCTCACTTTGGCATATTACATTATGTAATGTAATAATCCAGCCCACCCAAATTATTTAAAGTTAACTATTTTTTCCTCATCCACCAAGGTGAAATCTGCTTGGAGACATGCATTAACAAATGAAAACTATACAGTAACTGGACAATTTACAACTATCTGGATAATATCCATTAAGAACCCAAATAGTGAGGGGACCAGTTCTCTCTTCCTGACATATGGAAGTTTTCTGAATAGTTATTCATTTAATGATTTCTTTTCTTTGTTCAAAACAAAAACAAATCTAACCATCCCTATGGGAACACTAAAGATGGGCCAAAAGCACCAATCACTTGCTAGACAGTAGATACCATAGAAAAGTTACCCATAACTAGCCACAGAATTGATCTTGCATTTCATTGCAAGGAACTGAAAACATGAAATGATTTTTTGACTATTTCTTCAGTGCCATAGGTGTACAATTTTACTTTAAAAAAACAATTTCAAGAGAAAGGTACCCCCCTGCTTAAGAGTGGCAATTGCTCTTGGTTGTGTGGTAGGAATGAGTCCCTGCCTGGACTACATCTCACATGTTGTACCACAATCTCCTTGCTGCACTCCACTAGGGAGTCCCATTTTACCCGCACAAAATTCTCTTTGTTACACACACTCTAAGGCACCCAATTTTACCCTAAATTTGTTGACCGTACATTCTAGGACATCCCACCGCTACCTAGTTCCTAGGACTTAAGACATAACCCAGTTGATTTAGGTACCCTCACTCTTTCCCAGTTCCTAGGACTCCAGGTGAAAGGCATCAAACTTTACCTGTCTGTGGGATCCGGACAAACACCCATTCCCTGTGGACTCAGGGCTTAATCTTCTGTGGGTTTATGGGGACTTTTACCAGTGAAAGAGCCTTACAAAGTAATATCCTACTTAATCTCTATTTATTTAACAATCACCAAAAAAAGAATGCACCCACTAAGCATACAATGCTCACCACTCCCAATAAGGCAGATGAACTTTTCCTGATGGCCAGTCAGGTTCAGGTCATCTGGGGACTCCAGCTTCTGCACAGTTATGATTGGCAAAGTACTGAGGCCTGGGAGCTCTGATCTTGGGGCTGTGTCCTGGAGTTGGTTCCAAAGAACTTCCTTTTGGACCCTAGTTTATACAGTGAAACTTGAGTCTTGCTTAGTTGTACCTTAACCAAGCATTTTATTGAAATATTACTGAACAATTTTCTAAACCAGTCCTAACATATTGTAAAAATTCTTTAACCAATCATACCCCACCTCCATAGCTGACTTACACCAACCAAAATTAGTTATGCAACAGACAGAAACAATCAAAAAACCAGACAGACCACACAGATAAACAATAGAGAAGTGGGGACCATAAAGACATAACCATAAAGAAGTAGGGATTTCACAACTACAACTATTGATAAGTGATTTCTTGCCAGACAGAATGCTATCAAAGTTTTCCTTAACCATCTTAAGATCTGTTTCTTTATCTGGTAATGGTGGGTACTATTAGGACATGATCGCTTTTTAACAGCCAAATATTATATTATTATAATGTAATTTAGATGAAATGTGAGGATGTGACTTCCTGCTTCTTTGCTCATGGCTGCTGCTCTTCTAATATGGCTGCAGAAAAAAGTCCTCAGGCCTTACAATATGGATACAGGAAACGGCCTTATCCTTACACCATGACCATGCTGCATCAAGGTCTTGCCAGGGATTCTGGCCCAGATGAAAAACTGGAACTCGGGAAACATTGCAGCAGTTCAGTAGACATAGAATAATGTTGAACTGATTCAAACCAAAAACATTGTTTCAGAATGCTGAAGCAAAATATTCAAAAAAATTCCCATGTTAGAAATTATTAAAACATTTTGCTCTGCAAAAAGTTTTGCTATTCTGTTTGGGGTTTTTGTTTGTTTGTTTTTCCGGTCTCAAATTCAGGATTAAAAACAAAATGTTGAAATATCACCCTTCCCCTGGGCTGGAAATTCTTTTTTTAAAATAATATCCACCAAATAGTAGCCTATTTTAATATGCTTTTGAGGATCCACACTGTTCATTTCCAATGTTCTTATATTAGGAATTTAAGAGAACAAGCAACAGCTCAAACTGCAAATTATTTTAAAATTGTTAATGTTTAAGGAAGAAATTTACAATTTAGGGCTTGTCTACACAAAAACTAGAAGGAACTAGCTAAACTCATAATTTACACCTTATTTATTTATATTGATTCAGTCTGTTTGTGGATGTATATTTTGGATTCAGTGTGTCCTACTGTGATTAAACTTAAATTGATAAAAATCAACTTTGCATTTTTGCAGTTTTTCAACAGACAAGTGATAAGGGCTTCCAGCTGTTACAGATAATAGAATGGGACCACTGTGAATATACTCTATTGTTTATAATGTAAACAAGTCTCACACTGGACTCTGTGCAATATTTCAGCGGTATCTTCAGAGAGCCCCGCAATGATTTTTTTCTTTGAGGGGCCCCATCTACTATTCACTGTTAGTAAAAAGCACAGATAATTTCCCTACATTTTATTTTAAAATGGGCCTAAATAGGTACTTTAACCAGACTTTGAGGAGGCTGTGAAAAGGAGTTGTATAATCCATCATCTGCAAAGGGGTGTAATAGGGGTGCTGGACTCCCCCTCTCTTCATTCGGCCATTCCAGCCCCTCCCCTCTACCTCCATACCTATGTCATGTCTCCAAGAAGGGATTGGCGACTGGGTCTGTGTGCTGTGCATAGTGCTGTACAGGGGAACTGTCTGTCTGTTCTAGGGTTAGTCAATGTGATCTATGCTGCTGGCCAGCCTTTGCCAAAATAAGAACTGAATATGAATATTGTAGTCTTTCTGCCAAGACTTCACTGACAACACAAACTGGTGATTTTCAAAAATGCACATCTTAGACAAACCAGAACAGAATTTCATGGGAGAACGAAAAGGCACTTTTTTAGTCCCTTAAGCAAATAATGGATGTCTCAGAAAGGGTGCAAATATATTTTGTAACTGAAAAAGTGTTAGGCAACCTGTAACAACATTACCAACGAACTATTCTCCCGTGATGAGAAAGAAAAAGATATTCACTTTTGTTGTACTTTCTCAGTTTTGTCCCCAATAACAGCATTTCCAGTTCAAAGAATGCTCTTATGAATACAACACTACCTACTATATTTTAGTCCTGTCTTGTGCTGTGTTTAAGAGCATCTCATTTCCCAATGCCCTTGTGTTTGACTTTGGTTTTAAAATGGACATCTGAGGCATCCAAGTCATGGTCTTTGGTCTCTCAGCAATAATTTTTACTTCCGCTATAGCAGAGCAATCTCAGTTTCCCTACTTCAGAAGGCCTCCACAGGGGAATTACTACTTTGTAATTGCTTGACCTAGACTTTGCAGTACCATCATTTGCACACAAATATTTCTACTACCCATATTGACACAGAAGGATAAAGAGAGGTTACAGAAACTGAAGAGCATGGAATGTGACAGGCTAAAAAAAATGCCTGTGTAGTCCCCGTTCTCCTGTATCCCCCTTTTGCCTTCCCATTTCACTCTTATCTGTGTCCTGCTGAAGGTGAACTGTGATTACATAACAACTCTGGGGAGTAAGATATAAATCAGGCAACATTTTCCCTCACAAAAATGGCTTAATCAGGAGGCTATTATAAGACCTTTATAAATGTACTGTAGTTAATCATCGGGCTATGTGGGTAAATTGACATGGGAGTGTATCTATCACCTACTCTAATCGTAAGTCATATGTGCAAGGGAGAAGGGATACAGGCTGCATAAGGAATGCTGATTGTTTATGCTGTATGTAGACTGGGAAGGATGAATGGGGGTGGAATGAAAGGAAAGGCGGAAACAGTTACTAAAACTAGCTCCTGCATTTTCTCACACTTATGGGTTTAAAACACTACCGTACCACTCAATAACCCCAGTATTTGGAAAGATTTATTACTTGGCTGATTTGTCTTAAGAATCAAAAAAGTGAGAGGTAAGAAGAAGTTTAGAAGCTCGAGACCCTTCCAAGAATCCCACAACATATTTACATATTACATATAAAAAGTACATTAAGAAGAACTTTAAGACTGCTTTCAAGTCAAGAACTCAGAAGTTGGAACTGCCAAAATTAAGGTTGCCCATACAATCTCAGTTTTCCTTCCCTGTGCAGATGCATTTTGATACAGCCTCTAGCTGCATGATCACATGCTACTTTTGCCACGACACTCCTGACCTCAATCATTACACAGGATGAATGGTGCTCAGTGAATGGGTTTTTCTTTGTACCCACGTTATTTGTGTATGGTCCCTGCTTTATTTACTGCACACTATGCAAACCCTGCACTGAACACAGAATTATTAATTTCCTAGGGGCTTTTCTATGTCACTATGAGTGCTTAGCAAACATAAATGAATTTATCTTCTTAGCAGCCCTGTAAAATGAGCTAGTATTATCATCCCCATTTTACAGATGAGGACTTACAGGTCAGAGAGATTAAGGACAAAATTGACAGAAGTTTCCACTGATTTTGGGTGCCCACTTTCATAGGTGCTGTAAGTAGGGGTGCTACCACACCCCCTGGCTTGAAGTGGTTTCCATCATATCCAGGGTTTACAGTTTGGTTCAGTGGCTCTCAGCACCCCGACTACACAAATTGTTCCAGCGCCACTCCTCACTTTGAGACAAGAAATGTCCAATTTTTCAGAGTACCTAGTGTTTATAGCAGGTTATATGTTCAGAGCATGGCTTCCATTAATTTCAGTTGCAATTGGGTATGTTCAGCACTTCTTCCAATCAAGCCTAGATGCCTCAAATTGGGAATACAGAAAATACAGAACCCATAATTAGTTACTGACACCTGCAAAAGGTTTGGTGTCACTAACTTGCTCATTATCACATAGGAACTCTGTGGCAGAGGCAGGGATAGAATCCAATTTTCCAGGATGATATTGTCACAGTTCAGGGCAACACCACTGATATTCCCCCTCTGTGGTCCAGCAGGGGCACCCACTTCTTTTGGGTAGAGACCCGCATATCTCCCTCCTGACAAGGGTTTTTCCAGGTTGCAGAGTCCCCTACCTACACTGTGAATTCCCAAGCAAGCCAGACACCCAAAAGATCAGAGTTTCCACTTCGCTTTCTCTTCAAAGCTTATGAACAGCTGTAATTGCCCCCAGTTATAAGCTACCACACAGCTCATTCCAAGCAATTACCTATATTCTTTAGGTAAAAGCACTACAGAGAAAACATATTAAAAACAATAAAAGAATGTATGTATGTTCTATGCTTTTTATGCTAAGAAAGCTTACCAGAGATTGCTCTCACCCTCCATCTCCAACAAAGGCTCTGGTCAGTGTCAGTCCTCCCAACCTTTCCCTAAGAATTGGGGGCCCCCTTGAATAGAAGGCCCTGTCCTTTTGCTGAATCATAAAGAAGGCTCAGAGTCAGTTCAAAAACTTTGGGTATTTATCCAAAAGTCCTTTGTCTGTGGGGCTCTAGAGAATCCAGTTTAAACTAGTTAGGCAAGACTCCCTAGGAGGGAGGTGTTAACCTGAGTGAATTTGCCAAATCAACCCCCACTGTTCTTACTTCCTGGAGGGGGTGTAGTTACCCTCCCTAGTCCATATTGGTACATAAGTCTTCTGTGTTAAGATCTCGCAAAGATATTACAGGAATTGCCATATCTTCTACAGCTATTCCACTGTCTTAGCCATGAGACCCTCCATTATTTCCCTGTAGTTCGCTGCCTCATTCACTACTCATCTTCTAACTTCTGTAACAAATGAGGCAGAGATCCTACAGACAGCAATCTCATTAACTAGACAATCCTGATTCATCCTATAAACACAGCCCATCCTATGCTTTGAATGGCACCCTAGAGATCCTGTGGAAAAAACAGTACGTGGAATATTTTTGTGAAGATGGTGTGACAAGATCACCCTGGGTTCATGGCCAATTGCTTCCCCTTAGTGAATCTCTGGCAGGCCACTGACTCTTAAGCAAGTCATCGGTGGTGCATCACGTCACAAGAATAGTCCTGCATTCGGTCTACCTTCCCTGAAGGAGGCTCTGACAGGCAGCAGATTCTCAAACAGTTCCAGCCAGGCTTTGATCGTGGAGTGAGAACTGGAGTCTTCTCTCCTTCCCAGCCAGCCTCCAACAGAGCTGTGCTCTTTCCTTTTAATTGCTGTCTCCAAGCCTGATATTTATTGCAGGTGTAGTGGAGAAGGGCTGATTGAGCCCACAGCAGAATATTAACCCTTTCCTGGCCAGTGCGAGGTTTGTATACTCCATCACATATGGCAAAACAATGTATAGTCTCTCTCCCAGAAACAAACTGGGGTTTTTGTTTGTTTGTTTGTTTGTTTTTTAGCAAAAATCATCACTCTGAGGCACAAATGTGGCATGAAAAGTTTCAGCCCAAATAGTTAAAGGGCAAAGTGATAAACAATTGAAAACTGGAACTTGTAATGGAAACTTTTAGGTAACTTTAACGACAGACATCACTGCCAGCTCCACCTATATTGTTGTCATGTTCAGCACTGATCACTTCGCGGAGCAATGGCAGCCCTCTGATCTGCTAAATTTTTACTTCTAAAGCTAACATTAATAGTGTATAAATAGTTAAACACAAACAAAAATAAACCACAAAAGTATAGAAGTTTGCCAGCAAGAATAAGTTGGGTGAGGTAATGGTGGGTGTTGGAATTCAGATTTTAGCTAAACAAATTAATGTCAAATGAAGACTTTCCTCATCTGATGACAAAAGCAAAAGATTCCATTATATCAAAGAAATATAGTACAGCTCAAAATAGTAAACAAAAATCTTTTAAATTAAAATACTAAACTAATATCTAACCTAGTAAATACTAAACTAATTTTAATAGCAAAGGGTATGACTGCAACATTTATGTTGAGTAGCACTTACACAAAATTATGCATTGCTCACACTAGTTGGCTTCAGAGGGGTAATCAGGCAGAAGAATTGCAGAATGGGGCCCAGAGTAAGTTGCATGTGCTACACCATGCAACAGGTACTATCATCAGGAACAGAACCCTTACTTTCAGCACCAGCGAACAAACATTTACGCCTTGAACTAAATTAACTATTGTCCAGTAGCAGTATTTGGCCCATGCAAAGGATAAGAGCCTATGATTAGAGTGGGATAAGACACACTTACCAGCATATTACACTGCTCCAACCTTGACAGACCATGGCCTACGGTAAGTAAAACATGAATTTAATCTGACTTGTTCATTTCATGTCTTCTGTTACATAGCTTTACAAATTCAAAA